CTCCAGCCTTGTCTCTCTGCTTCTTCTGCCTCATGAGTCCATTCTCTTTAAAATAGCTATCACGTTCTTTCCAAAACATAAGTCCTGTTATTCCCCTTTTAAAATTCCCCAGTGGGGTTTTAGATATGAGGTCCTTACCATGGTTGATAACACTGCACGTGATTTGGCCTCTGCACACGGTTCTCTTCTGCCCCTTGGCCACTTCACTGGTTATTTTTCTGTTTCTAAGGTGTCAACCTTATTTCTACCCCAAGGTTTATGCACTTGCTCATCTCTTTATCTGGAATTCCTTTTCCTCTATTTTTTGAATGACTGGTTTTTTCTCATTATTGAGTTTTCTCAAAGGTCATCTCTTTATAGAGGCTATCCTAATCATTCCATCACAGGATCATTTCATTATCCTGTTCTTTTTTTTTTTTAAATCACTTGTCAGAATCTGAAATTACATTATTTATATTTGTGTGTGCCTTGCCTGCCTTTCAGCTCTCTCCCTGAAGTTAGGATTTGGTCTTCCTTATTTACCCCTAGATTTCCACCTCCTTCCTGAACAGAGCAAACGATCATTAAGTATATTTTGATTGAATAAATAAGTGAATGAATGAAATCGATAGCTATTTCAACACAGTGCAATAAAAAAAATTATTTAAGTTATTGATAGTGTCCTACATTGATGGCACAAGGAAACACAGTGGATCACTTTGCAAATATCAGTGGACATTTTCTACCCTAATAAACCATACTGTTTATTAGGAGATAAGTTAGGGGAAAAAATTGGAAAAGTTTTAAAACTATGTTTTCATTGTAACAGTGTATACACCAGCCATCTCATAACTTGTTAATAGTGTCTCAAAAAACACTATGTGAGTGTCTACAACACTTCTCTGGGGGCTTTAGACATATCAGGTAAAAAATATATATATGTTTCTATCATTGTAAAACTTATACATTTGTGGTTGAGTAGTGGACAGTAAGTAATGGACGGTAAGTTGGAAAAATAGTGTGTGGTATTCAGAGGCCAGTGGACAAGATTAGAATTATGGAGCAGTTGCGGTTAACATTCAGAGCATGGGTTGGCAAATTTTTTTGTAATGTGTCAGATAGTAAATAGGCTTTGTAGGCCAATCTCTGCTACAATTACTCATTGTGGTGCAAAAAGAATTAAAGACAACACAGAATGAATTGGTGTGTCTGTGTTCCAATAAAACTTTATGAAAACAGGTGGCAGGCAAGATATTACATGGTCATAGTTGGTGGCTCATCCTGTTAGGCATGAGTGGAGTGCAGGGAACAAGGATAGGGGAGGTCAAGGAACTGGGAGGATAGTGGAGGTCAAGGAACTGGGAAAGCAAGATTTGGAAGGATGGAAGGTTAGAAGGACGCTCTGTGTGTGTGTTGTTGAAGTTGCCGGAATTAAGGTGTAAGGCAGGAGGAGTGTTGGAGATCATAACAATGAAAGAGGAGCCGCCAATTTTGAGAAGTAGATGTTGGCAGGTGACAGTACAAAAGAGAAGTCATAGATGACATAACCCAACAACACGAGATTCAAAGCTGAAGATATTTTAGGAATAAGGGAGGAAAAATGGTCTAAAAGTGGCAACAGGATAAAGTTCCATTTTCGGGGACTATGATTGTTCTTCTCCACATGTGCAAAATAACTTCTTACCAAACACAATAAACACATTTGCACTGTTTAAAACAACCGGAGTAAAAAAAAAATTGCCGGCAATGAGTCCCCAGTACCAGGTGCCTTAGGAAGGTGGTTATGGCCCTATATTTTGTAGATTCCACACAAGCTGTGATGGGGCATCTTTGCAAACGCTAAGCAGCTACTACCTAGAGGCACATTTTTAGCTCTTATTGGCACGAAGACCAGCTTTCACATACACATTAAGGATTTTTTATTGTGTCTTTGTGGTAAAATGGGAATTTTAGAATAGTGACAAACATTTTGATGATATCAATATCACATAATGGGCCAAAATAAGTATCTTAGAACCTAAAAAAATCATGTTGATGATCACTAAAGTTGAAAAAGATCGGAACATACCAGTAGATGCCTGAAAAAAGAGATTCTAGGACTTGAAAAGCTAAGTCCTATAAAAGGGAACTGGAGGCTTTCAAAACCCACTAAAATGACACCAAAGAGAGATTAACCAGCAGGCAGAGCGCTGGCAAAGTATGTTCATGAATTATATACCATACTAGAAGTTCTAGCAATAGAAAAGCATAGGATTAATAATTAACTAGCAGAGTAATAATGGGCTTGAACATTCTGCTTTTTCTTAGTGAAAGAAACAGGCCTACTTATTCTCTCTGCCCATTGTTTGTTTCCTCATATTTATAGGGAGGAAAGTTTATAAGCCAAATCCTTTTTTTTTTTTTTTTTTGGTTAATTAACTGACTGATTGATTGGAGACAGGGTCTCAGGCTGGAGTATGATGGTGTCATCATAGCTCACTGCAGCCTCAAACTCCCAGGCTGAAGGGATCCTTCTGCCTCAGCCTCCCAACTGGCTGGGACTACAGGTGTGCACCACCATACCCAGCTAAGTTTTTATATTTTTTTGTAGAGAACAGGGTTTCACTGTATTTCCCAGGCTGGTCTTGAAGCTCGAGCCTGAAGCAATCTTTCCACCTTGGCCTCCCAGAGTGCTGGGATTCCAGGCACGAGCTACCGTGCTGGGCCCAACATCGTTTTCATAACTGGGAATCACTTCTTATCAAAGCCTTGTCAAGGTTACTCTCACTGAGTAACCATTTTGCCACTGTATGCCCAGAATAGAGTGTACTTTTGTCATCTTATTCTCATTTGGACCTTCCTGGAACAACTCAAAGACTTGGCCCTTGGGCTCCCTCTGGTGATTGGTGCCTTGCCACAAATATTTTACTTACCAACATTAGTACCTTCATCTCCAACCAGTATTAAATGCCTAGTTAGTGCTGCCTTGGTAATGTACATATTTCTGCTCTCTGCCCTTCAAGATTTGAAAGTCTAGGAAAGATAAACCAACACCTCGTCCGATCTCCCTGCTCTAACACCACTCAATACATTTCCTGGAGCACAAACAAGGACTTTTTAAAGTGTTCATTGAACAAATAAATAAAAATATGGGGAAGATACACAGAAAGTAAAACAGAAGTATTAAATGAATACAAGAAGGAACATTAACACATATACATTATATTATGCACGTATTAGTAAGTTCGTGTAGGAGTGCTGAGCAAATACAGCACTTTCACTGGGGTAAAATACAAGAAACCCAGGACTGAAATATTCCCGAGAGCGAAAGGAGGAGATGGTAAGATCGCTTTCTTCTTATGGAGAAGGAAACTAACAATTTAGTGTTTACTGTGTGGTCACGTGCCACACAAAGACATTTCCCTCTATGAGGGATCACATGTATGACAGCGGTCTCACCAGATTTTAATACTGAGCTGTTACTGCACCAGTCCAATATTTAGCTATGTTCAGATATACAAATACTGTTAACCCTGTGTTGCCATTGTCTGTAGCATTCAGTAGAGTAACATACTTACAGATTTGTAATCTAGTAGCAATAAGCTTTAAAACACAGCCCAGCTATATAGTAGCTAAACCACCTAAGATTACAAAAGTACACTATATTATGTGCATACAATGGCAAAATCCTCTCAAGATGCATTTCTCATAACTTATCCATGTCGTTAAATGACACTGTAACTGTACATCAGTACTGCCTTATCACACTCCTTTATAAAATGAGTTTTTGTATGTATTTATGATCTTATTGTAGAAGATTTTGAAAAGCACTAGAAACTAAGTTGAAAATTATAAAGCCAATGATATAACCACCCAAAGCTAAGATTATTAATGTCATTCAATGCACTTCCTTACAATTTTTTGCCGCACATATACAATAAGAGATTAGTGTAATAAACTCCTATGGATCCGGCTTCCAGCTTCCCCAATTTTCAACTCAAGGGCAAATTTGTTTTAGCGCTGCCCTCATCTACATAGCTTCTTCCTCCCTGCCATATAATTTTGAAGCAAATCCCAGATATCATAAAAAATATCAAATATTTTAACATGTATCTCAAAGATTGCCATGTATATTTTAATATAGTTATGTTAACATGCCATATACAAAATCACCTATTTTCGCCTATTTCAGATTTCAAAAAAATTATTAATTGAAATTTTAAAAAACTTTCCTTATGGCTTTTGCCACTATCATTGCTAATACCCCAACATTGACTTGGGAAGAAAAGATTGTAGACCCAGTGCTTCAGCTCTTGTCTTTCTCTTTAGCTACCCTCTCTGCACAGGGAATAATGTATATAAACAGCTTTGTATGGTGCCTTGCACAAATGAGAACTCTTTAATATGGTAAGATTAATAGTGTTAAAAATAACTAACCTCTATTCAAGATCTAAAAGTCAGCACTGCACTAAGCACTTTACATATATTATAGCAGGTAAGTGTCCCAGCACCTCTGAAAGGGAATGGGAATATTATCCCCACTTTATAAACAAGGACATTGAGGCTTCAAAAGTGTAACTTACCTAAAAATCACAGAGTGAAGAGAAAGCTCTTAACGTTTATGAAAATTTTGTATAATAAATTTAAGTTTTCCATAACAAACCTCATGTTTTACACAGAATCACAGAATTGAGAGATTGACACGATATGATCTAGTACAGGCCTCACCTCAATCCAAAATTCATCAGAAATATTCAAATTACAGTGAAATTTAGCTGAATATATTAGGACACTCAACCAGCAAGTAATCAAATTCTCCTTGTATCTGCATCAGGGTATACTGTGGCATATTTTATGTCTTGAAAGCATCTGCAAATTGTCTCGTAATGTATCTTACAATACTAAAGTTAACGAAGTCCAATCCAAATTTTGACTGTGTCAGTAAATTTTCTTTGATATATGATCAACATTAATTTGAATAGTATCTATGAAAATGTTTTAGGGAAAATATTGTAAATTCTGACCTTCTCTTTTTCTCTCAGTCTCTATAATATCATACAGATTCGTTCCAAGCACCATCCGAGGAACTTTTGTGAATTTTTTGACGTTGTTCAATGGATTTGGATGTTTCACAGGGGCCCTGCTGGTGGAACTGGTATATCTCATCTCAGAAGGTAAAAATAGGTTTATGGTATGTTTATCCACATTGATTTGATGACTAGGGAACTGGGAGACCAAACTTTAAGAGAGGGGCTTTTCCAGTGTAGGCTTTTCTTAATTGATCCATTTTTGCAATTAAGATAAAGTAAGATAGGAAATAGACTCTTGCTGTGTTCATTAATTTCTAGAAATAGTTTTTTTTCTTCTGATAGGAGGTGATTACAGAATGCCATGTCTCATAAGATTCTGTCTACTGTCTTTCTATAACGTATTTGAGAGCAAACTGGTCATTATAGTCTTATCAGGTCTTCCAGGGAAGCCATATGTAGCAATGCCTTATAGCTGGCATAGACAGTAGTCAGAAATGGTAAGACCTGTGTAAATATAGGAGGGTAGGGTACCTGGAGGATCTTTCCCTCTCATGATTCACCACAAATCTCATCTATGCAGCCAAAGAGAAATTATGAGTTTAAGAACAAATGAACTTGAAAAATGTTCCCAGTGGAGCGTTTGGTCAGGAGAAAAAAAAATCTGAAAAATTCAGATGCAAATATTAAAAGTATTAACTTTTTAGTGTGTTAAGGAGTTTAAAGCGTTGGTGAAAAAAATCAGACTAGATAACAATAATGATTAGCTGTCCCAGTGAAGGGCCTCTGGCTATATTTTAAATCCACAGATTTTTTTTCCATTGTTTAATCTAAAATGTCTATATACCTTGAATTTTATCTTAATGTCCTTTTGCTGATTTTATAGAAAATATCACAAACTTACTTTCTTATTTTTCTCTATTTTCAATAACACTTAGAGTTGTACACTTAAGATAATGTAAAGAAAGTGCTGGTTTATGTTCCCTTCTAACAAACTTAATTCACCTACTTTTAAACTATGAAAAAAACAACTTCTCAACTATGAATGAGAAATTCCTCTTAACATTAAGTGTCCATTCAAAAAATATTTACTAAGGGACCGTTCTGTTACAGGCGTCACATTATGCATTGGGGATACCATGGTAAACAAAATAAACACTTCCAAGATATCATGAAATTTCCAGGGGTGCAAGGAAGCCATGGCAGTAAAAGCAAAAAACACATGGACAGGTACAGTAGAGCTCTAGGGAGCACACCTACCAATTTTTGACTGATACTTGACAAGATCAAACCCTGTTCTTTATGTAGTTATCTGAACTAAAGCATGTGTTGAATATTCACAATACACCAGGCTCTGTACTACACGGAATTATGTGAGATATGGGTCCAGTGCTCAAAGAACTTAAATCCAACTGCCGTAACCAACTGGAGTGCAGAAAGTTGTGGACTCCCCTGATGATCAGATTCTTTGTACATCAACAAGAGACAAAGGACTGGCATTAATATTTTGTAAGATAATCTGGAATCTTACCTACATCTGTCCCTAAAACATTCTACCATCAAATCACATCAGATATATCTATGAAGTTAAATATTACTACCAATTTATCTTTTATATAAATCTAAAATTTTTATATGCATGTGTAAGCAACTTACTCAGAGTTAGGCAAAACTTCCTAGGTTAAGTTCCCCCAAAGACTGACCCTACTTAGACACTAGCCGCAAGTGTGGCAATTCTCACTTCTGACTAGCTGGCTATAGGTTTGGGGGCCCCCAAAGACTCTCTCAGGTTTGAGAATTTGGTAGAATGACACCAGAATTCAAAAAAATACAATACATGTTATGATGACAGCCCTATTATAGCAAAAAGAACACAAATCAGAATGACCCAAAGAGGAGTGTACACAGAGCAAGGTCTAGGAGGCTTCCAAAAGTGAAGGTTCTTCATCTTTGGGGAAGAAGGATATATGGCAGTATAATGAATACCGTCAACCAGGAAAGCTTACCTGGGCTGCAGTGTTCAAAGTGTTTATTGAGGCTTTATTTCATAGGCACTACTGATTGAACCATTGAGCATGTGGTTGAACTAAATCTCCAGACTACCTTCCCTCCCAAAGGCTGGACTGATACATAGTGTCTATGACTCAAAGCCCCAACACTCTAATCACAAGATTGGTCCTCCTGGCCATCCCCTAGTCTGAATCATCTCATTAACATAAACTTTTTGGAAGGGTCCCACCATAAATAGCAAAGACAATCCAATCACTCAATAAATTGAAAAGATTCAGAATTTACCCCTAGGAATCAGGTCAGGCAATTTTCTTTTCTTTTTTTTTTACACCCAATTATTCTTGCAAAATATTTCACTGAAAACCTAAATTTTCATTGACAGTCTGCGTCATATAGTAGGAGCTTTTACATGCATTACCACATTTATTACAGTGATGTTGTAAAAGTGGTAATATTGTTATCATTATTTTTTAAATGTAACACTGAAGACATTAAAAATAAAGTGTTCCAGTTATTACAACTTGTATCTGATAAAACTCTAACCCTCTTAGCATTCTGAAATGAATTCTAACATTGATTGTGATATACCAAGCAACTACTATATCAGGAGTCCTCAAATGTAAGGACTTTTTAATGACATTAGATATTTGTTACTGTTGCAATATAACCTTCTTGGATAAAGGTCTGCATATAAGATAGTATTGATACTATTCAAGATATAATTACAAAGATGGAGAAACAAAAGGTTATATACTTTTGGTGCCCATGCAAGAAAGGTTCCCAAGGACATACAGTGAGGCTGTCTGAGCAAGGAAGGATGTGGCGGGGGGGGGGGGGGACTTTTCTAACCTTGTGCTCAAGGGAATCCCATTTAAATCACCACTAATTAATTGAGGTTACTTCTTTTAAAGTGTTTCTCTTTCTGCTTGTAATAATATTTTGTAACATTAAATTATATTCCAGTAAATTAGAATCTTAAAGGTGAATGTTGCCTTAGAGATCATCTAGCCCAACACTGTACCACAAAATAGATGTACTGGCATAATCCAGTGTGTCTGTCTATTGATAACTAGGTTCTACAGAGTAAGTCTAATTTTCTATTCACATAGTAACTCCTCAAACATTTAATAAATGCTCAGAGAAGGATTGTAGTATAGTATTTCAGAGAATGGTTTCTGGAGTCAGGCCACCTGAATTTCAATCCAGATAATCTAGTTGTGGGCTCAATTTCTATGTTGGTGATGAAAATAAATAATTTGCCATGTTGTTCTGAGGATCAAGTAATCAATACACACAGCAAGCACTCAACAAAAATAGCCATCATGATTTCCTTGTATTTTATAGACAAACCACCCCAATTCTTTCATATTGCATAATTCCCTGATTTCTCACTATCAAGACCCCTCTATCCATTCAAAAAACAACAATTGTCAGTATTTTTCTTAAAATATGGTTTCCTAAATTGACTCTAATACTAGAGATGGGTACAACCAGGATATGTAGGTTATTTTTATCAACCTGGACTCTCTCTCTCTCCCTTTCCATCCTTTGAACGCCAATGGGGATTGTGCTGACTTTTTCAGTAATTACATCATCTTTATGATCAGTTGCAACTTGATTTTTTTTAACTCTCAGCAGTTGCTCTCTGTTCATTTCCACTCATCTCATTTTTTCTAATTAAATGCAGGGAATTATCTTTACCTTAGTAAATCTCACCCATCATCCTAAAAAACAGACATTTTTGAAACTTGACTCTGTGTCATCCAGTGAATTACCAATCTTTACTTCTTTACTAGTTTTATGTCAACAGGAAATTGGGCAGCAAGTTCCTAGGCTTCTTTCAGGTAATTGATAAAATTGTTGAATTGGACCGGAAACAGAACCTTACAGAAAATCTTTAAACTTTAGTGCAAGTTAATAACAATTCATTAATCCTACCCTTTTGGATGTAATCACCTCCCAGTTCATCTAAGTACTATCATTCAGCCCAGACACTCGTTTCTCATTCCCTAAATGACATCACAGGGGATTTTTATTATATATTTTCTGGAAATAGGATAAGTCTATGTTTGTAACAGTCCCTATAGCCATCAGACTAGCATTTTCCAACAAAGGAAGTGAAGTTCCATTAAGAGATTTGTTTCTAGGGCTCCTATACTGGCTATTAGGAATCCCTAAATTGGGGGTTCTAAAAGAGAGTGACCATAAGCATGAAGTTGGGTTGGTCAGTGTCTCTCTAAGACTGTTTCCTCTTAATTAAAAATGATATGAGGCATTTCACTTTTCTCAGAGATGTTGAGAGGATAAAATTAAAAAGGTATTTAAAAATGTCAATGCCAAAGATTATTTTTAAATATAAAATTAAGGCATACATTCTAGTGACTTATTTGGCTAAAAACAAGATCAGTCTATTCTCTCAATCCACCAAACTAGTTATTTTTTTGACGGAACCAGACATTATGAAACCAACACTATAACTGTACATTGAGGCACCCCACATCTTTCAGCATTTCATTTAACATATAGGCTATTTTCAACCTTTAAGGATCCGTGTCAGCCGAGCATGTGTGCGTGCGAGTGTGTGAGAGTGTTAGTGCACGGTTGGAAAAGAAGATCAGCTATCACAGCCTCCCAGTCTCCAAGCTGCATTAGTCATTTTTAGCACCATGATGGAGAATGGTGTGAATGCGGTAAATTCAAAAGATTTCTCAAAACTTGACTGTGCAGACAGATAACTGTTAGAGTGACATTTTCAGTACAAGTGAGAAAACTGATCCTTCTGGGATCTCTAACTCTGAGTGCTTTAAAGGAGAAGTACAAGACTAAACCCATCCTCCTACACTAATCATTTCAGGAATAGTTTATCTAAAAGTAGCAATGCTAATATAAGGGAGTGAAGAAGTCAGTCAAACTGCTTATTTCAACTACATCCCATTAGCAACAAGATCCGTTTTCGTACACTCATGAGTTCAAACTTACCTTTGGACAAAAATAACAAAATCTCAGTGAGAAATGACATCTTAGTTACGGACGTGCAGGTGATTGAAAGATCCAAGGCAAACTGGCTGAGAGGAAAAGGAAAATTGGGCACAATCAAGAGGTCGAACTGTCCATCTTCTTGTCCCTGTTAGTCCCTC